GATAGATAGATAGATACAACGATAGATAGGTAGATAGATAGATAGCTAGATAGATAGATAAATAGATAGATAGACAGATAGATAGATAGATAGATAGATCAAAAGATAGGGAAATAGATAGATACATAGATGGTTGGATAGATAGATAGGTAGATAGATAGATTAGATAGATAGATAGATAGATAGATAGATAGATAGATAGATAGGTAGATAGATAGATAGATAGATAATTATTTAGATAGATAGATAATTATTTAGATAGAAGTGTATTTTATGATAGAGAGATATGTAGAAAGATTTTTCTTAGGTAGATAGATAAACAAATAAATAGGATAGACAAGATAGATAGACATATAGATAGTTAAGGTAGGTAGATACACAGATAGAAAGGTCAGATAGATAGATAGATAGATAGATAGATAGATAGATAGATAGATTAGATAGATGAAAGATAGATAGATAGATTAGATCGATCGATCGATAGATAGATAGATAGGTAGATCGATAGATAGATAGATAGATAGATAAATAGACAGATAGATAGATAGATTAGATAGATTAGATAGATAGATAGATGGATAGATAGATAGGTAGATAGATAGATAGATAGGTAGATAGGTAGGTAGGTAGATAGGTAGATAGGTAGATGGATAGATAGATAGATAGATAGATAGATAGACACTTAGATAGATAGATAGATAGAAAGGTAGAAGTATAGTAGATAGATATGATGGAAAGATAGATAGATCGATAGATAGATAGATAGATAGATAGATCGATAGATAGCTAGATAGATAGACGGATAGATGGATAGATAGATAGATAGGTAGATAGATAGATAGGATGGATAGATAGATAGATAGGTAGATAAATAGATAGATAAATAGACAGATAGATAGATAGAACATAGATAGATAAGATAGGTAGATAGACAGACAGACAGATAGATAGGATAGATAGACAGATTAGACTAGATTGGATTAGAATAGATTAGATAGATGGATAGACAGACAGACAGACCGGATAGATAGATACATAGACAGGCAGATAGATAGATATCATGGGTTTAAACATAGATAGATTTAGATAGATAGATAGATAGATAGATAGATAGATAGATACGTAGATAGATAGATAGATAGATAGATAGATCGACTGATAAATAGTTGGATAGATAGGTGGATAGATAGATTAGATAGATTAGACGGGTAGATAGATGGATTGATGGTTAGATAGATAGATAGAAAGATAGATAAATAGATAGATTTATAGATAGATAGATAGATAGACAGATAGGTAGACAGATAGATTGGATGGATGGATGGATAGATAGATAGATTCATGTGATAGGTAGATAGATAGATAGATAAAAAGAAAGATAGATAGAAAGATAGTTTGCCATAAATTTTGAGACAAACACATAGAATGATAGATAGATTCTTTGATAGATAGGTAGATAGATAGATAGACAGATAAATAGGATAGACAAGATAGATAGACATATAGATAGCTCAGGTAGGTAGATACACAGATAGAAAGGTCAGATAGGTAGATAGATAGATAGATAGATTGATAGATAGATTTATAGATAGATAGATACATAGATAGAGACATAGATAGACAGATAGATAGATAGATAGATAGATAGACGCATAGATTAGATAGATTAGATAGATTAGATAGACTAGATAGATAGATAGATAGATAGATAGATAAATAGATAGATAGATAGATAGACAGATAGATAGAGAGATAGATAGATAGATAGGTAGATTAGATAGATTAGATAGATTAGATAGATTAGATAGATAGATAGATAGATAGATTTATAGATAGATAGATAGATAAATAGATAAATAGATAGATAGATACAAAGATAGCTTAGATAGATTAGATAGATTAGTTAGATTAGATAGATTAGATAGATTAGATAGATTAGATAGATAGGATAGACCAAATAGATAAGATAGATTAGATAGATTAGATTAGATTAGTTTAGATGAGATTAGATTAGATAGATAGATAGATAGATTAGATAGATTAGATAGATTAGATAGATTAGATAGATTAGATAGATTAGATAGATTAGATAGATTAGATAGATTTGATAGATTTGATAGATTAGATAGATTAGATAGATTAGATGGATTAGATAGATTAATTAGATAGATTAGATAGATTAGATAGATTAGATAGATTAGATAGATTAGATAGATTAGATAGATTCGATAGATCAGATCGATTAGATAGATTAGATAGATTAGATAGATTTTTATAGATTAGATAGATTAGATAGAAAGAAAGAAAGGTAGAAAGAACAAATGACATCAGAAAGAAAGAACGATAGATAGATCGACAGATCGATAGATCGACTGATCGATTGATAGATCGATCGATAGTTAGAATGTTAGATAGGATGGATGGATAGGACAGATTGGATAGGTAGGATAGAGTGGACAGATAGATAGACAGATAGATGAATATAAAAAAAATAGATAGATAGATAGATAGATAGATCGATAGGAGAGATATTTTTTTAATAGATAGAAATATACATAGGTAAGTTAGATAGATCGATAGATAGAAAAGATAAGATAAGGATAAGACAGATTAGATTTGATAGAAAGAAGTGAAGATAGACAGACAGACAGATAGATAGGATAGATAGATAGATATATATATTTAAATATAGATGGATGGATGTGTGGGTGGATGGATGGAGAGATAGATAGATAGGTAGATAGATAGAAAGATAGATGGTAAGGTAGATAAAAGATAGATGAATACAACAAAAAGATTATAGATAGATAGATAGATAGATAGACAGATAGATAGATAGATAGGTAGATAAGATAGATTCGAAAGATTAGATAGATTCGATAGATCCGATAGATTAGATAGATTAGATAGTTTAGATAGATTAGATAGAATTTATAGATTAGATAGATAGATTAGATAGATTAGATAGATTAGATAGATTAGATAGATTAGATAGATTAGATAAATTAGATAGATTAGATAAATTAGGTAGATTAGATAGATTAGATAGATTAGATAGATAGATAGATTAGATAGATTGATTAGATAGATAGATTGATTAGATAGATAGATTAGATAGATTAGATAGATTAGATCGATTAGATAAATTAGATTAGAAAAATTAGATAGATTAGATCGATTAGATCGATTAGATCGATTAGATAAATTAGATAGATTAGAAAAATTAGGTAGATTAGATAGATTAGATAGATAAATAGATAGATAGATAGATCGATCGATAGATAGATAGATAGATTAGATCGATTAGATAGATAACATAGATAGATAGATATATAGCTAGCTAGATGGATAGATAGATAGATAGATAAATAGATAGATAGATCGATAGATAGATCGATAGATAGATCGTTAGATAGATAGATAGATAGATAGATAAATTTATCATAGATAAATTGATAAATAGATAGATCGATAAATAGATGGATTGAGAAATTGACATGCATCTCAGTCTACATAGGAGGTTTTTTCCTGATCTGCGCTTCCTCTTCCGCAGTTGGCATTTTTTGGGGCACATGTTGTCACAGGCGACCAGCGAGGATGACACGGAGGAAGGGGGCAGAGGCTGCTGACAAGGTGGCCGATGACCCTTCAGGCCCTTCCGAAGGTGAAAATGGCTGGTGAACAACACTGTTTCAGTGGATTTGTTTGAGGGAAATTTGATGAAAAAACAATTGAGTCAGAAAATACATTTGTCAAATGTTTACATTATGCTAGAAACTGAAACTTGATTGGGTTTGGACTACACGATTCAGGATTTCAGCCAGTCATTGATTCCCAGATTGGTCCCAAATTCCAATGCCCACCTATCCTGATAACTCTGTCCATGTCATTTTTTTAACGCCATACTAATCATGGTCTAAAGTCTAAAGTCTGTAGAGTCACTTGCAGAGGTCATTTTTTTTTGCGAGGGCAGAAGTACCAACGAATCACTTGACGGGTTATACAAACCTGAAGTAAAAAAAAATATTCGATGGGAGAAACTCTTGCAGAGGCTCCCTCCCACATATGCCACAACATTTTGGCCGCATGACCAGATGCTCTCAAGAAGTCCAAATCCTTCGACAATAGCAACGGCAGTCGAGAAGAAGTAGGCATTTGCACGTGTGCTGGCTGCCATTCATCAGAAGGTTGAGGGATCCTTTGCTGTCTCCATAACTAGGAAATATGAAAGGGATTAAAACAGAGTCAATTCCAGGCGTCACCTGGGCTCAAAGCCAGGAGATACACTTAAAGTTCCTGTGATTCCTACAAAAGTTGCAAAATTATGCCTTTGTTCTTTGCTGCCGTTCGAATCCTCAGTTCTTTGTCCCCGCCTTTGACAGATTTCAAGACTGTCAGGCCGGAACCAATCCAAACGCGAGTCCACCATGCGCACAACGGCCAGTGAACTGAAGGTGCCATGGACAAAAACCCTGCAGTTTCCTTGAGTTGTAGGCGTCTGGTGGCTGCTAGAACTACTCTTTATCTATTACATTTTATTTCTATCTAATTGTATTTATTCTTGTATATATATTTATATATATTCCATTATGCAGTTGAGAAATGCAGACTGGAAATAGAGTGGTGCTTGCAGAAACAACATCCAGTGGTTCACCTTCTTTTGGCTCAAAGCTCTTAGCTTCGGACTCATGGCAATGCGTTGTCGTAAAAATCCACCCAATCGACTACTTGGACATTGAGAAGCCAGAAAGTGATGACATTGATGCTTGGTGATTTGTGACCCTAGCATTTTTTTTGTTTCAATGAGGCATTTTGCATCATTTTCCATCATTTTTCCTTGTCCATTTTCAGACGAGGAGTGTTACGAAGTATTGCACGTCCAAACATATCCCAGTCATGTTTGAGTTTCAAAGCTATTTCAATCTGCCTGTACATGTTCAAATTCCATCAACATATTCTCTTTGTTTCCATACTGCAAAGCACTTCACAGTTTTAGGACCATGAGGATATTTATGATCTCCTCGTTGGTTGCAATCTCTGTGGTGTCTATACGATTCAACGATGGCAGCGATGGGCAACTGAATCTGGACAATGATGTTGTCGATGATGACATTCTCTCTGTCAACGACAAAGTTACGATTCTAGCAGGCAAGTACGCTGGATGCAGCGGTGTTGTCGAAAAGGTCTCTGGTCGAAAGAACAAAGTGAAAGTTCGGAGGAACTGTGGAGATGGACGACGCGGTGATGGCAAATCATGGTGGTACAAGCCCGGACAAGTGGAAGAAATCATCGAAGATGAAGCTACAGGAGCAAAGGAAGAAGATGCACCACAGGAGCAAGGCATTTCACTTGTTGTGAATCTTGATTACATAATTCGGATAGAATGTTGTTAATTCTGTGCTCAGTACTGTACTTTGCAACGCCAATTTTCTGAAGGGACAGCTTGCATTTTTCATCATTTGTAATCGTTCTGAAGCTGGCGGGTATCAAAATGGTGATGATAATCCAATATATTCAATAGGTGGGGGTTTTAGTGGGCAGGACAAATTGCATGGCCATGTTTTTCCCCAAGGAATGCCGAGTTTCACCGGAAGCATTTACTCTGTGACCGATACAAGGATTTGCCCGCCATCAATCCCAGAGCCAAGCCACCGGTACTGG